CGGCGATCCTTCCGCCTCTCCTTCCGCCTCAGCCTTCCAAGTAGCTGGAACTACAGGCGCGCGCTACCACATCCGGCTAATTTTTTGATTTATTGTAGAGATGAGGTCTCGCCAAGTTGCCCAGGCAGGTCTCAAACCCGCGGGCTCAGGCAATCCACTCACCTCAGCCTTCCAAAGCGCAGGATTACAGGCTGAGCCACGGAGCCCAGCGGCTTTCTTTACAAGCAGGTATTGTCACAGCTTCAGTACTGTCATCACCTAAGACTTCCATATTCACAACTCCTCATAAGATGTTGCCTTTGTTTTTAAGGTGGTACATCCAAAATAGTTAGATGGTGCTGTTATTGGTCAGGAGAGCTGAGGAAAGGGTAACATGGGGGTAGAATGGTACCATTTGCTGCTCTTTAGTAACTGTATTTAAAACATGAGTTTTCAAAGTTTCCTAAACATTTCATCTCTAAAATTACCTAATCAGAGTTAAGGCTAAATAGCATAAGGTGCAGTTTTAACAAATTTAGCAACTTAAGAAAATTCACAATACCTTGGGAATCATGTGCCAAAAACCATAAACTATGACCTATGGCTCTATAAAAACCTATTGTCCAAGGTTAGACTTAATAAATTTTCAAAAGTTTTCTTTGCTACAAGAAGGCAAATAGAATAGGAAGGAGAAGAGAAATTAAGTGATGTTTAAGGGAATGTTTATTGTAACTTTACGCTATTTCTTTTTTTGGGGGGAGGTCAAAGTGTCACTCTGTCGCCCAGGCTAGAATGCAGTGGCACTTATGGCCACCACAGTCTTAACCTGTTGGGCTCAGGTGATTCTTCCACCTCAGCCTCCCAAGTAGCTGGAACTACAGGTGTGCACTACCACACCTGGCTAATTTTTTGTGTGTGATATATTGTAGAGATGAGCCTCACCAAGTTGCCCAGGCTGGTCTTGAACCCCTGGGCTCAGGCAATCCTCTTTCTTCAGCCTCCCAAAGTGCTGAGATTACAGGCTTGAGCCACTACACCCAGACAATGCTATTCACCTTTCTTTGTTCTAAAGGTAATAGATTGGTATTAAGTACTCTTTATATTAATACTAATTATTAGTTGTATGTATTTGGCTGTATGTTTTAAAGTCTTTTTAGGGAGTGTCTGATCTCCCAGTTGTAAGTTTTATGGGCAGGAACAGCATGCTTTCATATCTTCTCTTCCAGTGCCCAGTATTCTTTTATTTTTTTAGACCAATATATACTTTATTTTTTATTTTTAAAGACCAGCATATACTTTTAAAAGCCTCTGATGACTCCACAGTTTCATTCCAACCCACCTTTTAGAGGGGCAGCCACTATCTTAAATGTTGTGTTTATTATTCATTAGCTTTTCTTCCTACAGTTTATTTTAACTATTTTAATCGTATCTCTAAACAAATTGGTTAATTTTGCATATTTTTGAACATTATATAAATGGAACCACTGTATATATTCTTCTGCAAATGGCTTCTTTTGCAGAATCTTAGATTTTTACAGTGCATCCATGTTGATCCATGTAGTTGCAGTTCATTTTCACTGTGTACTATTTCATAGTATGAACAACTTATTTATCCATTCTACTGGTGTTGGATCTTGTGGATCGTCTTCAATTTGTTTTTGCTGTTACAGCAGTTATTATACTCTAAATGTTCTTGCACATATCTTCTGGTATACACGTGTAATCGTCTCTAGGCTACCAACCTGTAGTCAAACTGAATTCCTTTATAATTGCTAATAGTTTTCAGCTGATTTTCTTGGATTTCCCAGATATACAATCCTACCCTCTGTAAATAATTTTGTCTAATTGCATTACAGCTTTCACATCTGTGGTTTAAAAACAGTATATCTATAGTATCCTTGTGAAGTTTCTAGTTTTAATGAGAATACCTTTAATGTTTTACCTTTGGGTTTGAGATATGTTTGTGTGTCTTTGTTTTGCATTCTTTGTAGTTTTAAATGATGCATGTTGAATTTTAAATAATATACTTTTTGCAGTGCCCAGAATTCTAAAGAGTAAGTATTCAGTAAATTCTGACCTTCTCCTCCACCACACCCCACCCCATAGACCTCAGAGATAGCAGCTGCCAAGTCGAACAGCTGCCTGGGTTCTTCTCAAAGGATGTGCGAAGCATCAGGGATTTGCTAATGCAAGGTAGGGACTGGGCCCTTTCTGGAAAATCACATTGCCATTACATAAATTTTTACCTTTTAAAAATGCTTTGTCTCCCCACTTCCTAGCCCAGATTGCAAATGTTCTATTTTAAAGATATTTATCCCTCCAGGAAGATTTCTGGAAACCAATTTTTAAATTAGTTGTTATTACCTAAATTGTGCCTATATAAGCAAAATAGATAGAATGAAGAAAGAGAAGGGGATAGTACCTAAACCTCTTTGCATTAAAGAAAACAATCTATGAACATTTCTGTGTGCGAAATTCACTGCAGTCACCAATCTTCATGGGAGCCATGACAGGAAGGAAGGAAGGCAGGACTTGTATATTTAGTACCATGAGCACATACTAAGAAAGAAGTAAACTAAAAAATAGGAAAAAGTGCACCAGTGGAGTTTAACAGGGGTCAGGAATGGAAGTGGGTTATCTGGATACCAGACTAAGAACCAGATTCATTTTTCTGTCTGACTCTTCTCCTTTCAGAAACTCACACAGAAACCAAAAGGGCAACAATCATCCAAAATCAGACTGTGGCTTCCCTGCAGTGCCTTGGCTCTGGCAGCAAAGTAAAAGTCAATCTTGTATATTTGGAGAGAAGGCCAAAGGTGAAATATTTTCTGAAGAACCTGAAAGTCATTGCTGCTCCTCGCAGAAACAGCTCTGCTTCCCCAAGCTGTCACCTAATTCCCATATCCAACTCTCAGACTGGATCCCTTCTAACAGGCAAAGGTAAGACTAGGCAGCTGGAGCTTAGTAGCAGATAAAGCCACAAGAAAATGGATTATCCTCCCCTTGGGCAAATCTATGTCCTCTCTAAGAATCAGTTTTCTCATCTCTAAGGTCCCTTTTAGGCCTGGTATGTTGTGATTTTCATATGATATCCATTCCAATAGGGTCTTCTTTTGATAACCCTCTAAGAAAAGTTTTTTTATTTTGAATACACACAGTACAATATTAAAACAGCACAGATTTATAGAGATGTCTTCCTCCTACTTCCTGCCCTCAATCTTCCAGTTCTCTATCCCTGAGGGAACCACTATTACCAACTTATTATATTTCCTTTTAAAGATACTCTAAGCATACATGGATGTACATATTTCAAAAACATAAATGGTAGCATACCATAGACACTGTTCTGCACCTTGCTTTTTCCATTTAATAATATATCTTATAAGTTGTTTCATATCAATATGAATTTGCCTAATGCTTTTAACAGACATGATATACGGTATTCCATTGTGTGGCTCTACTATAATTTATTCTATTAGCTCCCTATTGACAGATTCTTTTGTTGTTTCCCATCTTTTGCAAATACAAACAATGCTGTAATTCCTACATTCTTCTTGTATACCTGCAGTTTATCAATAAGATAAATTCCATGAAACAAGACTGCAGCATCACAGGCTTGATAGATATTACTAAATTATCCTCCATAGAGCTGGTTCTATTTTGCATTCCTCTGCACACTGTGCAAGAATGTCTGCTTCTCCACAACTACTGGGCAGTGGTTCTTGACTTCAGTCTCAAGTTACTCTGCTTCTGCTCTCCTCTCCGTCTCCTATCCATTCTTTTTGTCAAATAGTTTCTGATCAACAGATTGGGATAGGCAGATCCCCTTCATATACAGGCAATACCCTAGATGCTATTGCTTCATGGGCTAGAAAAATAAAACTTGTCATTTTTAGGGAAACTGGGAGTTTACGAGCAGAATAATGGGGGGGATGTTAAAAACTAAACTAGAGATTGGAAAATAAGTGGAGAGGTTATCAGGATGTGTCCTAAGTACAGTAAATTATGTATCTTCACATGTCCTGAATGTTTCTCTTACTTTATTATACTTTCTAAAATTCCACAATGATAAATTGTATTAAAAAAAAAAACAACTCTTAAAAATTCATAAGCCAGCAGGGTGCAGTGGCTCACGCCTGTAATCCTAGCACTTTGGGAAGCCGAGGCGAGCGGACTGCCTGAACCCAAGGGTTTGAGAATAGCCTGGGCAACTTGGTGAGACCTCGTTTCTACAATAAATCAAAAAATTAGTGGGCGTAGTGGCGCATGCCTGTAGTTCCAGCTACTTGGAAGGCTGAGGCAGAAGGATCACCTGAGCCCAGTAGGTCGAGGCTGTGGTGACTGTGAGTATGCCACTGTTCTCTAGCCTGGGCAAGAGTGAGATGCCAACAACAACAAAAAAATTCAAAAGCCTCTGGCAAAGTTTTATGTTTTCAATCACTCAACATTAATGCAAGTTAATTCAATCAAATTGTTTTTCTCCTAACATGTGACACTCTGCTTGAGTCAGTGGCAGTTGTGACATGGAATAGTGGACTTAAGTCATTTTGGAGTCTGGAGCACTCTGGGCAGAGTGATTATAGTGCTAGGCTGTGGAACTTGAGGCAACTAAGGATATTATCTCTTAGAAATTTGGGACAAAGAAAACTGGAATGTTAAGGGGGTAGAGAGATGCCAAAGATCAGCCCGACCTAATTCAAAAGTTTGCCTTTAGCTAGCCTTCCAGGGAAACAGGAAGAAACTCTTCTTTCTTCCTTCTTGACATGGTTGTTGGTTCCCACCTTTAGAATTTAAGCTAGTACCCTATACTATTTGAGTCATGCAAAGAGACTAAATGGACGTCTGTGGATTAGTTTCAGGACTTAATCATCATTCAAAATACATTTCTATAAAACCACAATGATGAATTCCAAATAACCAATTTATAAATGAGCTTTTGAAAAATAAACACTTTTATATGTTTGAAACTGCCTATTCTGGATTTATTTATTTTAATTTTTTCTTGAGTTGGAATTTCACTCTGTTGCCCATGCTGGAGTGCAGTGGCATGCTCATGGCCATGCCAGCGTCAACCTGCTGGGCTCAGGCGATCCTTCTACCCCACCTGTCCAAGTAGCCAGAACTACAGGCGTGTGCTACTACGCCCAGCTAATTTTTTGATTTATTGTGGAGATGAGGTCTCACCAAGTTGCCCAGGCTGTTCTGGAACCTGTGGGCTTAGTCAATCCCCTCACTTCGGCCTCCCACAGTGCTGGGATTACAGGCTTGAGCCACCATGCCCGGCCTTATTCTAGACTTAAACTTACACTGATGTAAACTTACCAAGATGTGATAGACCCCAGATAGGGTAAAAATAAAAATTAGGTAAATGGTCAAACTCACAACGTCAAAAAAGAAATGTCCTCTGAAGTTACCACACTATGAATAAAATCAGTTGCATGGAAGGATGTCTCAGAAACAGTCAAAATACAGTTCAAGAAAATGTACTCAGAATAGGAATTTGAAACTGTAAAGATGAAAATGTTCTGCGCCGAGCTCGGTGGCTCAGCCTGTTATCCTGCACCTTTGGGAGGCTGAGGTGAGTGGACTGCCTGAGCCCGAGGGTTCGAGACCCGCCTGGGCAGGCGAGACCTCATCTCTACAATAAATCAAAAAATTAGCCGGGTGTGGTAGCACGCGCCTGTTAATTCCGGCTACTCAGAAGGCTGAGGCGGAAGGATCTGCAGAGCCCAGCAGGTTGAGGTTGCGGTGGCCGGGAGCGGCCACTGCACTCCAGTTTGGGCGACAGAGTGAGACTCCAACTCTAACACAGCTGGTCATCAGACAATGTAAGTTTATGTAGAATGTAGAAAAAGGTAAGATGGAGACTATTTGCTACTATTTATGAAATGTGGTCAAGAGCCAGGTACAGTGGTTCACTCCTGTAATCCCAGCACTTTGAGAGGCTGAGGCAGATGGATTGCTTAAGGCAGGAGTTCAAGGCTAAGCAATCAGGTGGGACCCCATCTCTTTAAAAATAAAAGGAGAGGTTGGGCTCGGTGGCTCAGCCTGAAATCCCAGCACTTTGGGAAGCCGAGCTAAGTGGATTGCCTGAGCCCACGGGTTCGAGCCCTGCCGTGGCAACTTGGCGAGACCTCATCTTTACAATAAGTAAAAAATTAGCTGGGCATGGTAGTGCATGCCTGTAGTTCCGGCTACTTGGAAGGCTGAGGCAGAAGGATCGCCGGAGCCCAGCAGGTCAAAGCTGCAGTGGCTGTGAGCGTGCCGCTGCACTCCAGTCTGGGCAACGGAGTGAGATTCTAATTCAATAAATAAATAAATAAATAATAAAGAGAGAAAGAAATGTTCCCAACATACAATGCCCTATGTAAATTTTTTAAAATATCATTTTAGTATATGGATTAGGCTTTGAATTAGGTTCTTCGGAATCTGATTAGTTGAACTGATTCCTAAGATCTGGTTACCTTTATGTGAAACTGTGGGATACAGGAGAAAGAACATAAACTAGTGTTTATTTTTATATTAATTATCACCTTTGAGAAGCTACTTAATTTCTCTACAGCTTGGTTTCTACAGCGACAAATGGACAATTTGACTAGATGGTCTAATTTCTAGATTTTTTTTTTTTCATTGCCAGGTCTCTATGAACCTATGACTAGATGGTCTAATTCTTAATTATGTAAAGCTGAGGGTTAGATCTTAAAGCACTAAGTCAACATCAATATGTAAGCCCTCTCAAAAGATCCTTCAATCAGCTTGTATTACTACAGAATAATCTCTAGAGATTTCTATTTAAATATAAGGTATTTCAAATTCTCTATTAAAAGCAATTATTTTGCAAAGTAATCTTTTGAGACTATAAATTATAACCTCCTAAATTTAGATTTTTGTATGTCTCCTTAAATCAGGGTACTTTTGTCCACATATTTTTAGCCAAAGAAAAGCTAATATTGCGATTCCATCATCATTGGAAATGAAGTGTCTGAATTTACAAACTTGCTCCACCTTGATGCTCAAATGCTTAGCAGATGAGACCTGAAAAAGATGAGCTGCCAACATGGATGGACATTAATTTAGAAGCTAGGCAGAACTGAAAGTACTGTACAATGACAGATGAAGCCTATCTAGTAGACTTTCAAGCAGTGGTTCCTAGGAGGTGGGAAGATATACCACACTAAAATACCATTGTCTTTGTGGTTAGAGGGCAGAGTTCTACTAAGACAATCTTTATATTTTCCTCTTCTTTCAATCATAGTATCATTCAGTTTGCAAAGTGTTTTCACACCTGCTTTCTCATTTTTGTTTCTGATCTTCACAACACCCCTGTGAAATATGCAGCCCAAGTACTGTTTTATTATAACCGTTTTGCAGATAAGAAAACCAAAACTCAGAAAGCTTATGTGACTTGCCCAAAGTGAGATTTGTTTATCTATATCTCATCTGCCTCATAAACACGTTTGTTATCACTACAGAGAACTGACACTATGATGAAAACGTTCATTTTTCCTTTTGAACCTGTTGACCTTATGTCTGTCTCTGCCTATCTCAACCAACACTGTATTCCTGATTAAACTGAAATCAGGGGCCTGGCTTGGTGGCTCAGTCTGTAATCCCAGCACTTTGGGAGGCCGAGGTGAGTGGATTGCCTGAGTCCACGAGTTTGAGACCCACCCGGGCAACTTGGCGAGACCTCATCTCTACAATAAATACAAAATTAGCCAGGTGCGGTAGCACCAGCCTGTAGTTCCAGCTACTTGCAAGGCTGAGGCAGAAGGATCACCGGAGCCCAGCAGGGCGAGGCTGCGATGGCCGGGAGTGTGCCATTGCATTCCAGTCTGGGTGACAGAGTGAGATTCCAGCTCAAAAATAAATAAATAAATAAAATAAAATTGAAATCAGGGACTGCTTCTTTGCCTGTAATTTCATGTACTGTACTTGGTACTGTGCCTACTGGCCTCTGAAGTAAAGAATTATCCTTTTTTTTTTTTCTTCTTTTTTTGAGTTGGAGTCTCACTCTGTTGCACAGGTTGAAGTGCAGTAGCATGCTCACAGCCACCACAGCCTCGACCTGCTGTGCTCAGGTGATCCATCCACTTCAGCCTTCCAAGTAGCTGGAAGTACAGGCATGTGCCACCACACCCACCTAATTTTTTGATTTATTGTAGAGATGAGGCGCCCAGCCAAGAACTGTCATTTCCACATGAAGTTAATTAAGGCATGGAAGAATAACTCAGAAAAGTCAAGTAGAAGGCCGGGTGCAGTGGCTCATGCCTACAATCCCAGCACTCTGGGAGGTCGAGGTGAGAGGATTGCCTGAGCCCACAGGTTAGAGACCAGCACCAACAACTTGGCGAGACTTCTCTATAATAAATTAAAAAACTAGCTGAGTGTGGTGGTATGCACCTGTAATTCCAGCTACTTGGAAGGCTGAGCACAAGGATCGCCTGTGCCCCGCAGGTCGAGACTACAGTGGCCAGGAACGTGCCACTGCACTCCAGCCTGGGCAACAAAGTGAGACTCCAACTCAAAAAAAAAAAAATAAAGAAAAGAAAAGTCAAGTAGAACCTACAGAACTTAATTTAATAAGCAATGATATAAGACCATTAAAAATGGAACAGGGACCACTGTCTGACTTGGATTAGGTCAATTGTGGAGACAAGTGAAATTAGTTCCAGACTACAGCAAGACTCATCTGCCTCCCATCACTTCCACTGCTGGTGTGAATCACATAACCTCTCATCTGGACTTTCCCAATGGCCTGCTAACAGGTTACCCTGCTTCTACACTTGTCTACCTCCAGTCCATTCTCAACACAGCAGCCCAGTGAAACTTTAAAAACAAAGCCAACCTATCACTCCTCTGCTCAAAACCTTGCAATGGATCCCTATTTCAATAAAAATAAAAATTGCAGTCCTTAAACTCACTTGCAAGGCCTTAAATGTTATGGGCCCTTTCCTCTAGATCCTCATCTCCTACAACGGTCCTCATTGCTCATTGCATTCCAGTCTCACAGGCCTCCTTGCTATTCCTCTAAAACTGTCTGTGACATGCTAGATATAGTCTGCTTTGGGGCCTTTGCTCTAGTTATTCCCTTTGCTGGGCTCACTACTTCCTCAGGCATCTGCTTGGCCAATCTGCTCACCTCTTTCAAGTCTCAATTCTCACCTTCTCAATAAAACCTAGCCTATACTGCAGGATGCCCAACCACTGGCCATCTATACCCCTTAGACTACTCCCTTACCTTGCTCTACTCTTTTTTTTTTTTTTTTTTGAGTTGGAGTCTCACTGTCACCCAGGTTGGAGGGCAGTGAAATGCTCCCGGTCACTGCAGCCTCAACCTGCTGGGCTCCAGCGTTCCTTCCACCTCAGCCTTCCAAGTAGCTGGAACTACAGGCGCGTGTTACCACGCTCGGGTAATTTTTTTATTTATTGTAGAGATGAGGTCTCGCCAAGTTGCCCAGGCAGGTCTTGAACCCACAGGTTCAGGCAATTCACTCACCTCAGCCTCCCAAAGGCATGGGATTACAGGCTGAGCCACCGAGCCCGGCTGCTCTATTCTTAATTATTTTAGTAGCACTTATCCCTTCTAATTTACCATACATTTTTTTTTTTTGAGTTGGAGTCTCACTGTGTCATCCAGACTGGAGTGCAGTGGCAGGCTCCCGGCCACCGCAGTCTTGACCTGCTGGGTTCCGGCAATCCTTCCACCTCAGCCTTCCAAGTAGCTGGAACTACAGGTGCGCGCTACCACGCCCGGGTAATTTTTTGATTTATTGTAGAGATGAGGTCTCGCCAAGTTGCCCAGGCAGGTCTCGAACCCGCGGGCTCAGGCAGTCCACTCACCTCAGCCTCCCAAAGGCGCGGGATTACAGGCTGAGCCACCCAGCATACATTTTATTCATTGTTGTCCTCTTTTCACTGCCTGCCCCCAGCCCTCTTTCCTCTTGCTACAATGTACCCAACTGACACATACAAAATATTGAAGGAATGCCTGAACATAATACTCATTTGTAAATATTTGCTGAATGAATGAAATTGAAGTGTATGAAGCTGAGTAGACTCTCCTTCTTCCAGCTCCTCCTCCTTTCCCCCATTCTCTGAGTAGTTGACTTAGACTCCACTAGACAGACCTGCAGCAGTCATTAACACAAATTATGGGCTGAGTGTGGTGGCTCATGTCTGTAATCCCAGCACTCTGGGAGGCTACGAGAGGACTGCCTAAGCCCATGGGTTTGAGACCAGCGTTGGGCAACATGGGGAGATCCTGTCTCTACAATAAAAATAAATAAAAAATTAGCCGGGCGTGGTAGCACACACCTGTAGTTCCAGCTACTTGAAAGGCAGAAGTGGAAGTATAGCCTGAGACCAGCAGGTTGAGACTGTGGTGGCCGCGAGTATGTCCCTGCACTCCAGCCTGGGTGACAGAGCGAGACTCCAATTCAAAAAAAGAAAAGAAAATAACACAAATTATGATATCTCATGTTCTTCCTTGGACTTTGGAGTCACCTTTTTTTTTTTGAAGAAGGAAGCTTTCAACAGTGTTATACCCTCTATCTTTATTATTATTATAGGCCTTAAGAATGATAAACACACCAGATATGGTCAATGGCTTCACTCTGATCCTACAGTAGTCAAAGGTCCCAGGGAATGTAATCCGTATCTCATAATAGTATCTCTAGCCTCATTACTCTTGGCATTATTTTCTGTCCACACCCTAAACCTATGGACAGACAGGTCAATGGAGCCACAGTCAGAAATGTAGTATCAGCTAGGTAGAGCTAGGGTTTTGGCAGGTAAAATCAAAGGCAGGATCAAGTTTTTCCTTAAAGCAGTTCTTTCATTTTTTTCTTTCTTCTTTTATAGCTTTTTTACCAGGAATCTCCCAATGTAAGGCATATCCAGTGATGGGAGCTGCACCAGAGACTTTTTCTACCACTACTACCTTCATAACTCCTGGGAAAAAAGAAGGAGAGAAAACTACAAGTAATGGTAATTTTTCTTTTTCTTTCTTTTTTTTTTTTGAGTTGGAGTCTCACTCTGTCACCCAGACTGGAGTGCAGTGGCTGCTCCTGGCCACTGCAGCCTCGACCTGCTGGGCTCTGGCGATCCTTCCGCCTCAGCCTTCCAAGTAGCCGGAACCACAGGCGCACGCTTACCACGCCTGGCTAATTTTTTTTTTTTTTTAATTTATCGAAGAGATGAGGTTTTGCCAAGTTGCCCAGGCGGGTCTCGTACCTGCGGGCTCAGGCAATCCACTCACCTCAGCCTCCCAAGCGTGGGCTTACAGGTTGAGCCACCGAGCCCAGCTATCGGTAATTTTTTTATTCCTTCGTAACAACAAGGTACAGAATAAGCAGGAGTAAAACATGAACAGAAAGAGAAATATTTTTAGCCTCAACGATAGTATGAATCTCCCAGTATTTTCTTGGAGGTTTAGAAATTACAGACTGTACGTTAGAAAATCATCCCATTTCTTATAGAAAAAAATTAGCTTCTCTACAAAGAAGGTTCCAGAAATGTTTGTAGTTTTGACACCATCAATGATCTTCACTGGCTGGGTGCAATGGCTCATGCCTACAACTTCAATGCTTTGGGAGACCAAGGTAGAAGGATTACTTGAGGCCAGGAGTTTAAAACCAGCCTGGGCAACATAATGAAATCCCATCTCTACAAAAAAAAAAAATTAGCCAAGCATGGTGGCATATGCTTATAGTTCTAGCTACTCAGGAGGGCTGAGGTAGGAGGATCGCTTGAGCCCAGGAGTTCGGGGTTGCAATGAGCTGTGATCACACCACTGCACTCCAGCCTGGGCAACAGAGCTAGCTAGATTCGGTATCAAAAAAAAACCACAATCCTTTACCTCCATACAGATGAGCTCACCCTGTAGCCAGACTTGGGAAGAGAATAAATTGTATTCATGTGGTAGGTAAGTTCAGCCATTATATGGATAGGCAGGTGATATTTAAAAATTAAGCAATTATAACAGTGACACCAACCAAGCACATATTTTCATCTTCATTGTTTTTAGAAATAGTCCTCCCTAAGGTCAGGTGCAGTGGGGTGGCTCACGCCCATAATTCCAGCTTGTTAGGAAGCTCAGGTAGAAGGATCGCCTGAGCCCAGGAGGTCAAGGCAGCAGTGAGCTGTGATTGTGGTGCCAAAGCACTCCAGCCTGGGTGACCCTGAGTGAGACTCCAACTCAAAAAAAAGAAAAAAGAAAAAAGAAATAGTTCTCTCTAAACTGACCAGCATTCAAATTTTGTAAGACTCCAATTTGGGTTATATCCTAGTTCCTACCAGGGGAAAAGTAAATATGAGATTAGTAATAACAGGATGTCTATGAGCCATTTGCTCCCAGACACAATGCCAATACACTACACCTCACTAAAGCTAAGAGAAACATAGGAAAGGTTATTTTCTTTTTCTTTTTCTTTTTTTGAGGCTGAGGTGAGAGCATTGCCTGAGCCCAGGGGTTTGAGACCAGCCTGGACAACTTGGCAAGACTTCATCTCTACAATAAATCAAAATATTAGCCAGGCATCGTGCGCCTGCCTGTAATTCCAGCTACTTGAAAGGCATAGGCGGAAGGATTATCTGAGCCCAGCAGGTGGAGGCTGTGGTGGCCATGAGCACGCCACTGCACTCCAGCCTGGGCAACAGAATAAGACTCCAACTTAAAAAAAAAAAAATTAGCTGGGCGTGGTGGCACACACCTGTATTTCCAGTTACTTGGAAGACTGAGGTGAAAGGATAGCCTGAGCCCAGCAGGCCTAGGCTGTGAACATGCCGCTGCACTCCAGCTTGAACAACAGAGTAAGACTCTGACTCAAAAAAAGGGTCAATCTCTTCCCTCACTCAAATTCTCTTTTCTCTCTCTTCTATGCCTCTCTCTCCTTTAGACACAGATGAGAACCTAGAGAAGAGGCAGATATGGAGTACTGTGGTCAAATTTCTGATTGCTGCCACCCTGTTGCCCAGTGGAGTTGCCATTATAGTATTTGTAATTTTTGATGTTCCATGCCCTGTAAGTTTGCTGATGTATTGGCTCTTTGGACTTGATCTATAAAGACTTTCTTCTGTCCTAGAGACAGTATGGCATATAATGAAAAAAAACATAGACTTCAAAGTTTGGACAGATCAGTCACTCACAGTCATTAGACGAGTGGTTTTAGGAAAGTTGCTTAACTTTTCTAACCTCAATTGCCTCATCTGTAAAATAGGTCTCATGATATTTGCCTCTTAAGGTGGTTATGAAGATTAACTGAGATCCTGTACAAAAGGTGCCAGGCACAAAGGAGGTGCTCACTAAATGCAAGTTCCTTTCTTCTGCTGTACTTAGACATTCTCTAAGAAGGACAGATCTAATAGCACTAAATATTGTATTTAGAAGACATGGTTTCCTTTAAATTGCCTGACATGATGGGTGTGGTGGCTCACACCTGTAATTCCAGCACTTTGGAAAGTAGAGGTGAGAGGATTGCCTGAGCCCAGGGTTTCGAGACCAGCCTGGGTAACTTAGCAAGATCTCGTCTCTACAATAAATCAAAAAATTAGCCAGGTGTGGTGGCATGTGCCTGTAGTTCCAGCTACTTAGAAAGCTGAGGCAGAAGGATCGAGCCCAGCAGGTCAAGGCTATAGTAGCCACGAACGTGCCCCTGCACTCCAGCCTGGGTAACAGAGTAAGACTCTGACTCAAAAATTTAAAAATATTAATAAATAAAAATAAGCTGCCTGACATGAGGTTTGGAAGCAAATACTTACCAGCCATTTGATATTAATGCCAGTCATTTTCTCCCTTCAGTGTCTAGGAGCCAGGGAGCTATGCCAATGCCAGTGGTTGTGGAGAAGGCAAAGGAAGGGAGGTCAGCAACCTGGGACAGCTGAACCCCAGTCTGACTCTCAGCCTGAGAAGGAAAGTATTCTCAGTTTGGTTTATGTGATTTGCTTAAAGAAATTGGGGTTAACATAGAAGTGCTGGGAGGCAATGGAGCTGCTCCACTTATGAAGCAAATGTAGGTAATTCTTTTAATGTGTCAAGAATTAGGTGGGATTTTACACTACTCTTTTCCTACCAGCTCTAACATAATACAGTGCTTATTGAAAATATTTATTTCTGGGCCTCACAAATACTGAATCAGAATGTTCAGAGTGGAGCCAGGAATCTTATTTTTAAGATTTTTAACAAGATCTCTAAGCAGAGGCGGATTTACTGTGAAATGAATGAAGCTTAATATGCTTCAGGACCCATGGGCCCTATCCAAAGCCTTTTATTCAATTTTGTATTTTTATTGATTTTATTTATTTATTTATTTTGAGTTGGAGTCTCACTCCAGGCTGGAGTGCAGTGACATGCTCACAGCTACCGCAGCCTCAACCTGTGGGCTCAAGTGATCCTTCTGCCTCAGCCTTCCGAGTAGCTAGGAACTACAGGCACGAGTCACCGTGTCCAGCTAATTTTTTGATTTATTGTAGAGATGAGGTCTCGCCAACTTGTCCAGGCTGGTCTCAAACCCTGTGGCTCAGGCAATCCTCTCACCTCAGCCTTCCAATTATGCATTATTAAGAAGTTTCCCCAAAATCAGCTTGGTGCGGTGGATCATGTCTGCAGTTCCAGCACTTTGGGAGGCCGACGTGGAATGATCTCGAACCAGGAGTTCGAGACCAGCATGGGTAACATAGCTGAGACTTCATCTCTAGAAAAAATAAGAAAAACTAGCTGGGCATGGTGGCATGTGTCTGTAGTCCCAACTACCCAGGAGGCTGAGGAAGAAGGATCGCTTGAGTCCAAGAGGTAAAGGCTACAGTGAACCATGATCATGCCACTGCACTCTAGCCTGGATGAAATAGTGAGACTCCAACTCAAAAAAATAAAAATAAAGATGTAGGTACAGGAACAGATACATATGCTGTGGGTTCTGAAGCTCTTACAATTTCAGGGAAACTTTCTCTCTTTTTTTGTGAGTCATAATCTCACTCTGTTACCAGTCTAGAGTGCAGTGGCATAGTCACAGCCACTGCAGCCTTGACCTGCTAGGTTCAGGTGATCCAGGTAGCTGAAACTGCCACACCCAGTTAAATTTTTTATTTATTGTAAAGACAAGGTCTCCAAGGCTGGTCTCAAACCTTTGGGCTCAGGCAGTCTTTTTACCTCCGCCTCCCAGAGTGCTGGGATTACAGGTGTGAGCCACTATGCCTAACATGTAATTCTTACAACCAAGTTTAGGATCCACCACAGTTAAACATGGTTTGAAGACTTAGAAAGCAACTTCCTTCTTCCCTGTCTTTGAATTTCCTGATAAGATTAGAAGTTAATAGTGTTCTCTGGGAGCTGAAACAGAAACCACACTACTGGCTCAGCAATTTCCCCACTAAGAGCAGACTTGGCTTTTGAATACTAGAAACTGATGGACAGCTTCATTTAAGCATCTACAACACTCAATAAGGCAAACAGATAAGGTTCTCAATATTTTAAAAATTAAATAAGATATCCACTTCTGTAAATTACAGCATTAACAATGGGTCTCAAAGATTATCTAGTCCAAGACAGTACACATGCTGCCACTCTTGAATTCTATGTCAGTTGTGCCATCAAGCACAATACTCTTTCCACTCAGGCCTACATCAGAATCTTTCTTATCACAGTGCTCCAAGCACCCACTGCCAATTTATTTCTCATCTCTGGTTTAGGTTAATACTTTCTATAATACTTTTTCTTCTAATATTGGAGGATGAATCCATACAGGTTAGTATGATTTTATTATATGGTATATTTTTAGTTCTTTACACCAATCAATATTATAATTTCTACTGAACATTGAAATAAATAGGCTGGAAGAGGATTAAAAAGTCTAGTTCAGAATCAGAAGTAACATGTAGCAGCAACTCTGAATTTCTTTCTTTCTTTCCTTGTTGAGTTGGAGTCTCACTTTGTTGCCCAGGCTGGAGTACAGTGGCACGCTTCCAGCCACTGCAGCCTCGACCTGCTGGGTTCAGGTGATCCTTCCGCCTCAGCCTTCCAGATAGCCAGAACGACAGGTGTGCGATACCATGCCCAGCTAATTTTTGATTTATTGCAGAGACGAAGTCTCACCAAGTTGCCCGGGTGGGTCTCGAACCTGCAGGCTCAGGCAATCCACTCACCTCGGCCTCCCAAAGTGCTGGAATTACAGGCTGAGCCACAGAGCCCAGACAACTCTGAACTTCTATGAACACAAAAGGTTACTAAATGACAAAGGAATTAATAAAAACAGTACTAAGGCAGCAATTTTATACACATTACCTCATTTGAGCCTCATGAAAACCCTGAAAAATAGCCAAGCAGGTATCTACATTTTACTGATCCTTAATTTGATGTTTGGCAAGGTTATGTGGCCTTCCAAAGGTCACACAGCTGGTCGAAACAAAACTAGAATCCAGATCTTTTAATTCCTATACTGATATTCATAGGCTTATTCATCTATTCCACAAAATTTTACTGAAAAGATAGGTGCCAAGCAGGGCATGTTGGCTCATGCCTATAATCCCAGCACTTTGGGAGGCTGAGGTGAGAGGACTGCCTCAGCCCATGTGTTCAAGACCAGCCTGAGCAACTTGGTGAGACCTCATCTCTACAATAAATCAAAAATAGCTGGGCATGCTGGCGCATACCTGTAGTTTCAGCTACCTGGAAGGCTGAGGTGGAAGGATCGCCTGAGCCCAGTAGATCGAGGCTGCGATGGCTGACAGTGTGCTACTGCACTCCAGTCTGGGCGACGACAGAGTGAGACTCCAACTCAAAAAACAAAAACAAACAAACAAACAAAAGATAGGTGCCAAGTTCTCAGTCTTCAAGAGGCTTACAGTCTAACTGACCAAAAAATTGTAATTATACTCATAACAGTTAAGCACTTAGAAAATATATATATAAATTAGATGGAGCATAGAGTCAAAAATAATGAGCATGCAATGGGATTATTAAAAATATTTGGTCTGCACAGACCCAAATCTCTGCTTCTTTTCAAAATGTAATGAAACTGTTTGGGTCTAATTCCGGGCATAAAGTAGAATCCCTATGCATCTGGGACTCAAACCAGTTGCATATTCAGAGCTTTTTCCATTCAAGGCAAATATGTCAAGCAAGGAGTAAATGGACACTTTGCTAAGTTGTAGGTTCTCACACATACATGCACCTTGTTCATACTTTCTCAGTGTAATTATTGAGTAACAAAGAGGCAAAATGAAGTATACTTGGAATTACATGGGTTTTAGTATTTAGATACATTTGTTGGCAAGTGAAAGAAAATCCATTTGCATTTTTTTATATTTCATATTTCTTTTCAATTTCTAGGTTGGACAAGATGCTCCCAACTCATCAAACCCAGAGAAGGCTGTACAGATCACTGTTATCTACCAGACATACTTCTGAAAAGTTCTACTCTGTCTTACACACTGAATGAATGATACTACACTGTCTTCCCCTATTATTAGTCAACGTGGGCAAATTCTTGCCAACTTTACACTAATATCTTCAGCAGGAATATTACAATCAAATAGTAATTCCTGGTTAATGAAGAGAAAACCTGAGCTTTTCAGTTATCCCCATGCCACTGACAGCCACAAGCCTCTGCAATTCACTTTGGGCATCCATAAAAATGGGTATCTCTCCATACCCTCAAATGAAAACAAAAATCCTTCCCTCTAAGCACCATGAATGGACCATATTTCTCTCTTTGACAAAAGCCTTTAAACATAGCCTCCAAGAAACAAGATAGCTGTTAGTATGATGTAGGTCCCATCTTTGTTATCTTCACAGATGATTTCATGTTCACTGGCTCTCAACTAGGTTACAGTGGAGCTCCTGCTCTCCATGGTTGATGCTCATAAGGTTTTATGATTTAGCCTCTGCTACTACATATAGCTATCAAAACACTGGTCAAGAGAATTTGACCCTAAGCATTCCAAAAGTCTGTCTCATAAGTCATCACCAGGGTTTAGGAACTGTAGCCCAACAGTACCCAAGTAAAGTCTCCTGACAATCCAGAATTCCTAAGAGGGAATTATCTACTTTATTTTATTTGTTTGTTTGTTTACTCATTTATTTATTTTAGAGTTGGAGTCTCACTCTCAACTAGGCACACTCTCGGCCACTGCAGCCTTGACCTGCTGGGCTCAGGCGATCCTTCCACTTCAACCTTCCAAGTAGCTGTAACTACAGGCACATGCCACCATGCCCAGCTAATGTTTTGATTTATTGTAGAGTTGAGGTCTTGCCAAGTTGCCCAGGCTGGTCTCAAAACTGTGGGCTCAGGCAATCCTCTCACCTGGGCCTTCCAAAGTGCTGGGATTATAGGCATGAGCCACTGCAATCCGCCAAAATTATCTACTTTAATAGTGAGCTGCGACCGGGCTCGGTTGCTCAGCCTGTAATCCCACGCCTTGGGAGGCTGAAGTGAGTGAATTGCCTGAGCCCGTGGGTTTGAGACCCACCTGGGCA